TGATGGCTCCAGGGCCAGGTGTGGGCAGCACATTTTCCCAGGCCAGCCTGGCTGTGGCCTGGCTGTGGGGTGGGCTCGGGGCCCACCAGCAGGCCCAGCAGCTGGCCTGGTGCGGGTGGAATTCGAGGCAGTTTTGCATGGGCTTTGGCTCCAGCAGGCAGATTCCTGGAACCATGCTCAGCTGCGCTGTGGGGAGGGCCCTGGGGAGGGCCGGGGGGGGCCCCTCTGGCCTCTCTGTGGACCCCAGGCTGGCCAAGGGAGCTCACGGCTGCAGCGCCCCCGCCCTCTGCATGCCAGGCCCTCCCGAGGGGAGCCTTCCTCCCCGTGTGGGCCCAGCAGAACCTTTCTGGGAAAGGGCATCTGTCTGCCCCGCCCCCAGGCCTCAGGGCCAAGAGGGGCGTTGGGCCCAGCAGGCCTGCCCTGGGGCCAGACCTTGGGGCAGACAGGGGTTCCCCGGAGACAAGCTGCTGAAAATAGGCCCTGGGAATGTCTGAGTCCCTCACTCGGCTAGGCCTGCGGGGCGGGGGGTGGGGGGGGTGGCCGGGCTGGAGCCGGAGGAGCTGCTCTGGTCTCCAGGCTCTGCGGTCCTCCTGGGCACGTGTTGACTGCTCAGGGCACCTGTGTGTGTGCAGGAGCAGGCGACATTCTTGCACCTGTCCACACCCCTGGCTCATTCGGCCGGAGCAGCCCGAGCAGCAGACCTGGAGGCCAGGGCGGGGCGCTGGGCGTGGCTTCGGGGGTGAGGCCGGAGCACGTGCCCAGCCCTGAGGAGCAGAACTTTCCCCGTGGGGTGGGCGGCTGCTGTGTGGATTCCTCAGAGGTCACTGGGCCCAGCCCTGCCACCATGCCTGCGGCCTCCAGGAGGCAGGGTCCTGCCTGGTTCCCGCCTGCACCCCACCCAGCCTCAGTGGCCTGTGAGGGTGGGGAGGGGTGCAGAGGGAAGGGAGCAGGTGGCGGCCGCCTTGGCTCTGTACCCAAGACCCTGCATTGGCCTCCCCAGAGCTCAGGCCCTCGGTGCCCTCCTGCTGTGCTGGCACAGCGCGGGGTGTTCTGGGCACAGGAGCAGCCTGGGGCGCGCAGCTGGGTGCTTTGTGTCCTGGCCTGGCCGCTCTGTCCTTCATGCTGCAGACAAGGCCCTGGGGCCTGCTGGCCGCTGCTGGGAGCACTGGGCGGGCAAGTTGGGGCCGCACCTTGGGGTATGTGAGGGGGTTCAGTTCTTCCATTTGTTCCTGCAACATGTGCCACTAACACCCACAAAAGAGTGGGGTCAGGGGTGGAGGGCCTGACAAGGCCCTGCACTGGCCCCTGGTCCTGAGTCCGGTGGACCCAGGTGGACCGGGTCAGCACCGCTCCCCAC